TGAAGTTCCCTTAAGGGTACAGAATACTACTATTCAGGGATAGTGGCCACAGTATTAGATGTTAGAAGCGAAGTTCTCATTCCACATCCTTTTAGCAAGTAACCTTTATGAGCCAAGTTCTGTCTTTCTGACCTAAAAGAATTCTTGCTTCTGTGACCTTGTCATGCAAGAGAGCTGGAGATTTAGAGGATGAGAGAGATCGGCGTCATTGACAAGCACGCCTGTGTTTCTACTTGGTAGAGAGGGAGTGTGTCCCCTGTCTCGTAGGATGCTTCTTTCCTCGTTCACTGTTGTACACCAAAGCTGAGTTTGTGTTTTCACCTGAGTTCATAACCACTTTGACTCTCTCACTGCTGTGCATAATGCCACTAATGCCGCCTGGTGAGGACTTGAATAGAGCCACTTTTAAAGTGTGTTAGAGCCTCACTCAGAGGTCTCTCTCCACTTAGACTGCTTCTTGTCCTGCAGAGAATGCAGTGCGAGCTGCTGCTCCTAGTGCTTAGCTGGCTATGCCTTGAAATGGTTTCCGTTGGCCCTTTCCACCCCTGCTCCTCTTACGGCTGCTTTCTATTTAGATGCTGACATCAAACGGAGCACACCCTCCAACGGCAGGCCCTTCGTTTCCACCCAGTCCTTGTAAGTACTTTTTATAAAGCCCTGTGATGTTTGAGGAAATAGCCCTCCCTCTGGGTGGGAGAGGCCAGGGGCAGCGCCTTCCACGTGTATGCAGAGGCCAGGTCAGCGTTGGACACCGAGAAGGAGGGGACAGACGATTTTTGACACAAACCGGGTGTGCTCTGGAGGCAAAGCTTGCAGCATGTAGTGTTCCTGCGCTGCTGTCTCCTGATCGTACCTGAGTCCCCCGAGACCAGGTCTCCAGAGAAGGGGCCTGATCATAACTAGGATCATGGGATCAGATTGAACCCGGTTAGGGGAACCAAGAGGAATGCCCTCCCTGCAGCTCACAGACCGGTTTCACTCACGGTGCTTTGTAGAGAGAGGCAGCACCCCAAGACTCCTGAACTAGCAGTGCCCTCACATGGTCACGAAGCTAAGCCAAGCGCTTAGCGCAGTAAGACCTGTCATTGCGTCCCCTTATCACTTGTCTATGAAGATGATGAGCTCAGACACAACGCTTGTGAGGCTGGTGCACAGGGTCGCGAGGAGCCAGAACCGACGCGGCGCACCCCCCGCCAGCGGCTGAAGTTGATGAGGGACAGCGAAGCGCTGGGGGTGCGGCGAGGGCTCCATCGGTCCAGATGGTCCTGCGTGCGGAGTCAGATCCTGGGCGGGGCTGCCATCTTCCTGCCCTTCCCGGTGCTCAGCCCTCCGGATTCTCTCCTTTCCAGCTCCCACTGCTTCCTGCACTCCACGTCTGCGGAGGCCGTGGCCATGGGGCTCCTGAAGCAGTTCGAGGGGATGCAGCTCCCTGCCGCCTCGGAACTGGAGTGGCTGGTCCCAGAGCACGATGCGCCTCAAAAGGTACAGGCTCTTCAGCCTGGCTTTCCCGCCCACTGCCCAGCACTAGGAGGCCCTGAGCTTTTCCGACCTGGTTCTTCTCAGTCCCCCATGCGGCACGAGCCCATGTGTTTCCTCCTTCCTCCTAGAAAACGCTCGTTGTCAGTCTGTTGAATGAATGAGAGCTTGCCTGGTTTTCCAGGCAGGTGTCAGAAGAGGAGACGAGGCCTCCTTCGCCGCCCTTCTCTCCCAGGACTTGCTCACTAGACCCAGAGGCATAACTTGTGAGGTGCAAGTACCTTCGAGACGCACACAAAAGAGACAGGAGAGCTGTTCCGATGCTGCCTTTCTCTGCGGCGGAGTCTTTGGCGGAGTCTTTACAGCGGGAAGATGCCTCCTCACATACTGTAGTATTAAATTTTTAAAAAATGGCGCAGGGGAGTGGGGTGCCAGCCCCCACCCGCTGCTACTAATATTACTACTACTCGGATTCAGTAATACTACTTCTGGGTTCAGTAATGCACAATTGTACGGTTGAGATATATAAATATTATATTAAAGTCATCGAGAGCATGAGAGATAATACAATAATACAGTCAGGCATGTTACATGGTAACATTGCTCACCTCCGCCCCGCTTGGTGGTCCTCATGGGGGGAACCCGGCTGCCAGAGCAGGAGCCGCCTCCCTCGCGGGAGCTGCCCTCTCGTCCACCGCCCTCATGGGAGCAGCCCTCCTTGCTCAGCCGCCCTCTGCTAGCCACCCTCGGCCAGCCACCTCCTGGGAACCCCCCTCTTGGGAAGCAGCTCTCCTTATTTATTGCTAACCACGCATCATATTACTTTAGGGGGATACATCACAGCATCATGCATCACAGAGAGGGGCAATACAATTCATCCTTGAACAGGTTTGATCATTCTGGTGTCTCATACAATAAAGCAGGCAATAACTATCCTGGGAGGCATGCAAGCCCCCTGATAGCAGATAGCAACCTACTTCATAGAGAGGGGTTGTAACATAGGCAATACAAGCAATAGGAGGGGGATGACCTAGGGGTGAATGTGCAATAGTAAGAGGAGGGAATAGGGGGCCTTGTGTGGCAAGATAGTAACCTAAACTTAGTCATCTTAGAGTGGTCCCGGGCTTGCCTATGGGCACTGCTTCAAGGGAACAATAACAGAAAGGAATGGGCCCTATTTGGGGTGAGTCAGACTATGCAGTCTGGCCGCTCTAGATGGCTGCTGTTAGGGAGAATAACTTCTGACCTACTTTTGCTGCCTACTGAACAATTATTCTCAAGCTAAGTCTGGCATATATTTTGGGGAGACAACTTAAGAGAAATCCCTCTGTTCCTCACAACATACCAGGCGTCCGAGGGGCGGGAATAGGGACAGTATCAGCAGTGGGTGTCCCTGCCCTGGAATGGCCCTTGCATCTACACTTGGCCTGCTCTAGAGCCATCCTAACTTTGGACATGTTATTAGGAGAGACCAGTCGCTAGGGAAGGACGTCATCCTCAGTAACGAGGGGATCAGTGCAAAAGAGGAAGAGCCTGGAGGAGACGCTTGCCGCCGTGGCTGCCACAGTGGGCTCACTAGAGTGACAGTTACACATGGGGTCGCTGTGAGTCGACAACAGCAACAGTATCTTGTGGTTTCTTTGGTCTTTCTGAAATGCCTTTCGTGGACTGTTCTTCTGCCCCGACCAGAAGGTCAAGTGTGAGTTGTGCTCAGGCTGCCCACAGTAGGTCAGCCCATGCTTTCTCTTGCAGCTCCTGCCCTTCCCCGACTCGCTGCCCATCTCACCAGACGACGGGCAGCACGCCGACATCTACAAGCTGCGGATCCGTGTGCGTGGGAACCTGGAGTGGGCCCCACCCCGGCCTCAGATCATTTTTAATGTTCATCCTGCTCCAACGTGAGTCCAGCGACCGCCCTTTGGAAAGTGGACCTACCCACTTTCGAGCGCCAAGGCTGCCTTCTCTTGTCTGTCCCTCCGACTGGACCCCGTTTCTCTTGAGCGGCCGAGGGGAAGATGCTGTATCCTGTCCTCACGTCTGACTCTCACTTCTCCTGGAGCAGCCCAGAACAAGCTCCTCACAAACTGGCCTTCTCAGCCGATGCCGGCCTCCCAGGAGTTCTCGGAGCTTGCCGCTTTGTTTTATTCTCTTCTCTGTGGATGCTGAATGCGCTTCTCTCCATTGCCCTCACTTTCCCATCCTTCCACTAAGCCACACACAGCACACTGTTGTAAAGACACAAAGAATGCCTTGACCAATTCAGCCTTTTTCATGTGCACAGTTCAGTCAAGCCAATGACACCAATCACGTATCGCTACTAACCGACAGAGACAACGATGCTGCCCTGTCCCGCCCCTCCCATCCCTGGCAACCACCACCAAACTGCCCTGTCTCTCTGCCCAGTTCACGTAGCCTCATCCCTCCCGGTGATACGTGTGCAGCAAGAATGCTTTACACCGGGGAGCCCCATTCCAGACCTAGTACCAACTGTGTATCCTCCGTGCAGATCCCCCCAGGGGACTCAGATGATTGAACCCTAAAAGATTCAGTGACCTACCCCTTTTCGTTTTTAAGAAGAGCCATTGTTTGCATTCTCGCCTCCTGCCTCTGAGATCTGCCAACCCCTCTCCTTCCTCTCTCTTCTCAGGAGGAAAGTGGCCGTGGCCAAACAGAATTACCGTTGTGCAGGGTGTGGCATCCGGACAGAGCCCGGTAGGTATCTGCCCAGACTGCCACCCAGGGAGTTGCCCTGGCCCACACTTGGGCAAGGGGTGTGTGTGTTGTTCAGAGTGGTGGTAAGAGGAGTAATAGCGCAGACCTGGGGGAGGGGAGTGGGGGAGGACAGTGGTACCAGAGGGACATGACTTCTGGGAGCGGGTCACCAGGATTGGCTCTTGGAGACTGTTGGGTAGTTGTGGCCAGCGTCTTAGAGACTGGGTTTTGCCAACTCTGGCAGATGCAGGACCCACCGGCCCTACTGTGGGGTTCTGTCCACTTCAGTGAGCACAGAGGTGGGTGGAACGCCCTGGCCATCGCTTCTTGTACCGTCAAGGGGCACGGCAGAGCTTCCTCACTAGCATGTAGCTGCTGAGGTGGCTTCTGGCCTTGGCCCTCCTGTTTTTGCAGATTACATCAAGCGGCTGCGGTACTGTGAGTACCTGGGCAAGTACTTCTGCCAGTGCTGCCACGAGAATGCCCAGATGGTCATCCCCAGTCGAGTTCTGCGGAAGTGGGACTTCAGCAAGTACTATGTCAGCAATTTCTCCAAGGACCTGCTCATCAAGATCTGGAATGACCCCCTGTTCAATGTGCAGGACATCAACAGTGCCCTCTATAGGAAGGTGAAGCTGCTCAACCACGTCCGGGTAAGACCCGTGCATGACAAGCCAGCATCAGGGAGTTTTCCCCTTCCCGCCCCTCCCTCTCTTCATTCCAGCTTTCCCAAGTGCATGACACCACTCTGTCCCGGGGTCAGCGTTGGCACCGTCCGTCCATCACATCCGCTCTAAATCTTGCCCCTTTCCCAGAGGTCTAGCTAGTGAGTCTCAACCCTGGCAAAGGCCCCTCTGAAGCTGTAGGCAGTGAGAGCCTATGGCTACGCAGGGTCGCGCCCTTCCCTTCGCTGAGAACACTTGATTGGGGAACAAGGTAGGGAGTTAGAGTCCTGGAGTTCTCTTCTTAGCTGCTCCCAGCTGTGGGTGTGATCTGGGCAGGCTGGCGAGCCCACCAATCTGTGTGGCCTAACAGAGGGGCCTTCCCGGCCTGGGGATCGCTTTAGAGCAAGTTGTTGACTCGGGCGTCGAGGACAGGGCAGCTCTGGCTGCCGCGTCCAGGGCTTCTAGCCCCTGAGGTCTGTTGAGTCGATTCCCGCTGCCCCATCGGGCTGTCGAGGCTGTGACTGTCCAGAAACATAGCCAGCGGTGCTGCCAAGGTACCTTTGGGTTGGCTTGAACTACAAACCTTGAGGTTAGTAGTCTAGCATTTGACTATTTTTGCCATCCAGAGGGACTCTTCCCAACATATTTCCCCCCCTCTTCTCCTCTCTCGTACCCTGCCCCCCCTCCCCTTTGCAATGTCTTTCTCTTCAGCTGCTGCGAGTCCAGCTGTATCATATGAAGAACATGTTCAAGACATGCCGTCTGGCCGAAGAGTGAGTCCTCTGTGGAGGCTAGACGCTTCCGGCAGAGTGAATTTCTCTAGAGGGGACATGCCCTGTAGTTGTAGTTGGCCTTTGGGATATGAAAAAGGGGGTGGGGGTGGGGGTGGATCTTGAAGACAACGTAAACACAGTAAATGAGAAGATGCAGCAGTGGCTGGACTGGTTATTTTATCCCAGGCAGGCCTGCGCTCTTCCTAAGCTGGCCTGGGTCATGCTGCAGGAGGTTGTAAAAGTCACTTCTGCCATGCAGTCCCCCAGCAGGGAGAGGACTGCTGTGGCCAGCAATGCCCAGGCTACCCTAAGGCTCCCTGATGGCCCCCTAATGTTGCCCGCCGTCTCTGCGGCGTCTGCCTCGCTCCTCCCTAATGGGCACCTTCCACACTGCCGGGCCTCACGCCCTGTCCATTCTCTGCAGGCTGCTGGATTCCTTTGACACAGTTCCAGGCCACCTGACGGAGGATCTGCACCTGTACTCCTTGAATGACCTGACCGCCACCAGGAAGGGGGAGCTGGGCCCCCGGCTTGCTGAGCTCCTCAGGGCAGGGGCCGCCCACGTGGAGCGGTGCATGGTGAGACCGGGGTTCTTGCCATCGTCTGGTTTCAGGAAGTTGGCCTGGCCTATCAGCAACTGTGTGAGAAACGGAACAGGATGCTGCGTCCCAGCGGCCTAACTGTGGCATCACCCAGAGCTGGAGCAGGCTGCTCACACTTCTGTAGTCCGCCGCCCCTTTTCAGAACAAATCGCTCAGCACGCCCGTGGCCGTTAGACACATTTGCGCTGTGGCCCACAGGCCAGGGTCAGGTGCAGGTATCTGGTTCGGCAACCACTCTGGGGAGCTCTGATCTGGAGATCTGGCTTTAGAGGAGGAAGTGGTCCTGGCGTTGCCCCTGGGTAGCTCAGGGCTGAACTGACAGATTCTTCTCGAAGGTGTTGTCATGTTGTGGCAGCAGAAACCCTGGACTAAAATTGGGAGAGGACCTGGGTCTTGGCTTTTTATCATTTTCAGTCATTGACTAAATGAAATATTTTGCCCTCTCTGAGGTAAACCTCATCCCCCACACCCTCTAAAATAAAGATCTACTGTTCTTTCCTCTCGGTGTTTTTGAGGATTGATGAAGTAACTTATAGGAAAGCATTTTATTTTATTGATTTTTTTATTAGGAAAGCATTTTCAAGCTTTAACGATATGAGGTAATATGGTTCTTAATATACTCCACCTGCCAGAAATCCTTCCTTCAGAACCTGTTCCCTTAGAAGGGATTCCTGTGGCAGTCCCAGAGCCAGGGCTTGCCAGGGGCCATAGGGAGACAGCCCTGCTTGGCCTGGAAATCTAAACAATCGCCCTGTCACCTGACCCAAGGCAGGGGAGCATGCTCCCCTTCACATTCCGTCTTCACTTCCTCTCCATGGAGTTAGCGTCATTGGCCGTGGTCTCTCGTTCAGAGCAGTCATTTCCCACACTGGATGCTGCCTCCAGGACCCCTCCGGACACCCTCCTGGCCCCCCGGGTCCTCTCACCACTCGGGTGGTACCGGTGGGTTTCTTGAGCCTTGAAAAGCTCCAGGTCATACTGCCCGGCCCAGGCCTCGTCCCTACCCTTCCCTACCCTCTTCTCAGTGGAACCCGAGAGCCCACTCGTTCTGTCGTTACGTTCTTCGCTGGGCCTGCCCTTTTGTGCTAGGTCCAGCTCCTCATTGGCTGCCTCTTTCCTCCCCAGCTCTGCCAGGCCAAGGGCTTCATCTGTGAGTTCTGTCAGAATGCGGCCGATGTGATCTTTCCTTTTCAGCTCCAGAAGTGTCGGACCTGTGAAGGTGAGTGAGCGAGCCGAGCCACCCCGAGCGGACTCGTTTCCTCTCAGCCCCTCCTCCGCTTGCTGGGGTGCGAATGACTGTGGATAATACAAATGGTTTTCTTACTCCTTCTTCCCCCCCCCCCTTCCTAACCCAACTAGAGTGTAAAGCATGCTACCATAAAGCTTGCTTCAAGTCTGGAAGCTGCCCCCGGTGTGAACGCCTTCAAGCCCGGCGGGAGTTGTTGGCCAAGCAGAGCCTGGAGTCCTACCTGTCCGACTACGAGGAGGAGCCCACCGAAGCCCTGGCCCTCGAAGCCACCGTCCTGGAGACCACCTGAAGAAAGAGCTGTGCTCTCCATCACGGGACTAGCGGCAACACACAATGCGGAACTGAGCCACCCCTTTAAGGACTTTGCCCACGTGGGGATTTTTTTTTATATATATATTATTTTTTTAAATAACTTGTCTGACGTCCTTGTGGCATCCTCCCGTCTGGCCTTGTTTTGGATGGCGGGGTCCAGTCTGTTAGCGACAGATACTTGCTCAGCACCAGGTTTTCGCATCAGTGCTGCTAGGTCCCTATATGAAGCGTCTAGTGCCTCCGTCAGGAAAGGCCAGCTAGGCCCAAATCTCTAGACCTTCCCGACCTCCTCCACCTGGACCTGACCTAGGCCCAGCCAATCACCAGTGTCATTTCCAGTTTGACTTCCTCTTCACGTGGGAGTTTCTGAGCCTGCCTCTCCAATAACTCACTACTTCGCTGCTGAAATGGGGGATGGAACGTTTCTCTTCCCAATATTGGCCTGCGGTCAGACTGTGCCCTGAGGAGAAATGACAGAGGGCAGGATTACCGGGCAGGTGTTCTGCCTGGCCCCCTCCTGTCTTTGGGGGCCACAATAACAGCATTAGTCCTGCCTGGAACCCTCAGGTGGGGCCTCAAAGAGGCCGTCAGGACTGAGGTGCCACCGCGCCAAGAACAGATCTGATGCTGTGGTCAGGGCCCTCTGTGGCCTTAACCGTGGGCACAGGCGAGGCTCCAGCTCTGTTTAAAGAACATCCATCAGCAGAGCTGTTGGTATGAGGTCTCGCGTCACCAACCTGGCTCTTTGCAGGTTTGCTCTTTTATGCTCAGGCAGGGCTTCAATGGCGTGCTAAGTTGAGGACAGAAACCCCATGCCTCGCCTAGGGTCAGCGAGCCCCTTACTCCCGTGCCCTCCCTTAGATGGTAGGCGTGGCTCCTAGTCAAAAGAAGGGTCAGACCCCATTCTCTCTGGGCTTCCTGCAGCAGAGCTGGGAGCCGCCCTGGTGGTGGGTCTTTTGCCTTATGGTTTCTTGTGTCACAATTGGGGGGGAAAGCTTCCTGCTTAGTGTTGTGAGAGAACTTTGGACAATTTGTGGATGCGAGTGCGAAGGTCCCCGTGTTCTTGTGCTAACGAGAGCCTCTAGGCCAATTATGCACTTAACTCTTTCTCTGACCTTGGTACTCATCATAGCTATTCAGTCATCCTTTTCAGATCACTAATTTTAACCCTCCTCTTGTTTTAAATGTATTTTGCTGGAGAGATTTTGTGGCTGGGACCTTGTCAATGTCTGTGGTGGTCTTTCGTGGCTTTAGCGTTGAGCGCCAGTCCGGGCCGCCGCTCTGAGGACTGGCAGCTCTGTGAACTATAGTATTTTTGTTCTGGGACTGGATTCTGCCCGTGTACTTGTCTTCCTACAGTTACTTGATAGTATGACCCCGGTGTGTGCGCTTCCCCATGAGGCTGAAGGAAAGCTGCACGTGGCTGGTGGAAGCTGAGGAATGACCGAGCTAGAGAGCCAGGGCATGTCACAAGTTAGGAGCCGGGCACTGAGCTGTGAGCTGGAGCGAGAAGCCACAGGGAGCATGTCAAGCCGGGTTCCTCTGTCTCAGCTGGGAGCCTGAAGGCCACGGCAGGCCGGGAGGCCCCAAGGCTCCTCTCCTTTCGCCTGTGTTGAGGCTGCAAAAACAAAGGCCTTTCTGCCCAGCCCAGGCTTGGGAGGGCTGACTCGAAGCCCCCTTGCCCTTCAAGGAGCTTTGGGTTGGGCATGACCCCACAATGCTCCAGTTTCACCGGAGGGATCAGGCTTGTACAAAACAGTGAGCGCTTCCTCCAGTTGGGCTTGAAAGGCCAACGCCGGCTCTAAGTCACTACACCGGTGGAGCGCTGGCTGCCCTGCCTCTTCCATGTTAGCCTGAGATCCACGGATGGAAAGCGCTGCCCAGCACCTGCAGCAGACAGGGCCCAGCAGTCGTACAAGTTCCCTGTTCTGCGCTGCTTTTAACTACCTTCCCAGCCCCAGCCCCTCCGACCTGACTGCCTCCCTGCTTTAGTGACCCTGGCACCATGCCGTCATCACTGCCCAAACACCCATTTATTTATTTATTTGAGGCTTGGGGGTGGGCGGGGGGAGGGCAAAAGATGGACTGTCTTGAAAGCACTTTGCAATTTACCAGTATCTGAACATGCCCTGCTTTGTGGGGAGAAGCTTCTGAATGCACTGAAGAGAGTTCCTTCTGAATGGAATAGGAGGGAGGATGTGTTCTCTGGAGATAAAGGGCAAGAACAATCTGCTTCCATGGTGGAGACAAGACTCAAGACAGCAGAAGAGTGGGAGGCCAGTATTTCCCACTTAAATGAGGCCGTTACTGTCTTTCTCTGCCAAGGCGAGCGAGCTTTTGTGTAATTAACAGAGAAGGAGCAAGCATCTCGAGAGATGCCCTATGTGCGTGTAACTCGTTTTCCGAACCGCATTTCTGTTCACTGTTGTTCTGACACAGCCTGACAGTAGTAGTTCTTGCCCCCTTAAATAAACTAAGGAAATGAAATCCTGCCTGGTGTGTGCCCTCCGTGTCGGTCAGCGAACGCTGGAGCCTCTGCTGTAAAGCAGGCGTGTCTGGGAATGCAGAGGGGCGCTGCGCTGGGATGTCAAGGGAACTGGATTTTAAAGAGTCGGGACAAAGGGGTCGGAGTGCTTTGTCCCTGACTTAATATACGACCTTGAGTGAATCAGGTCATCTCTCTGGGCATCTGTTTCTTCATGGGTAAGATGACAAAATTAGACTACGCGACACCTAGTCTTGCCCAGAGTATGTACTTTGGGACGTGTCAGGAGACAGCAGTCCCAGGAGAGGGACATGGCGCTTGGTAACGTGCAGGGGCGGCGGAAAAGCGAGGAAGGCCCTCAAGAGGGTGCCTCCAGGGTGGCACAGTGGCTGCCACAGTGAGCTGGGGCCTGGGGACAGTTGAGGATGGTGCAGGACCAGGCAGTGGTGCCCTCTGTTGTGCACAGGGTCGCCTTGGGCTGGGACTGACTCATTGCTACCTTACAACATTTTTCCCCAAACACTGAAGGTGCCCCTTACGTGGCCTCTTGGGGCGAGCCGTTGCTTAAAGAGAGGTCAACCCGCCTCCCCCACATTGGATTGGTCTCAGATGCCTCACTTGTGCACATCTGCCTAGCCGGTTGCTCTGACACTCCTTCCTGCAACTTACTGAACACGCAGACCCTCTGGGATATCTGTTGTCATCTCCCACCAATGCTAAATACGTTACCAACATTAATGTATTTCCCCCTACAGCAGTAACTGAAAATAGTGACCCAGAGATGTTTCAGAACATGGATGCGCCTGGAGGATATTTTATGCTGAGTGGAAGAAGTCAGTCATTTAGAATGGAGATTGTCTGAGACCACTAGTAGAAAAAGTCAAGAAAACATGGATGCATAGAAAGAAACATTCTTTGGAGGTTACCAGAGATGGGAGGGAGGAAAAATCACCAACTAGAGAGGAAACATGTATTCACTTGGGTGAAGGGAAAGGCACAATGTGTACTAATAATGTGACCAAGACAAAGGCTTATGCTGGGAGGCACACAAGAGTAAAGGAGTGGAACAGGTAAGTACTCCTGCATACAGCACCCTGCAATAACATGACGCTAATTGTTTGCAAGTGGATGGCAAACGGAGTACACCCCCTGGTGTGTATAGAGATAGGTATGTTTGGCAGAGGAAAGTCTTTGTGCTGCAGATAGATCCATGTAAATAGCAGAGCATACAGGGGGCAAAGGTGAGTGAATCATTGGGCTTGGGACTGAAGACCCTCGTTTCAGGGGGACTTTTAGGTCAATTGACACAGCATGGTCTGGCCGGAACCTGTTCTACCTACATCCTACTTTGGTGAGTAGCAACTGGAATCTTAAAAGCTTGCAAGCAGCATTCTACGATGCAACTATTTATTGGTTTCTCCCCATCCAGAGCCAAAAAGAGTGAAGAAAAAGATACAAGGAAACAACGAAAGACCAGCCTTCACTAGCCTGAGACCAGAAGAGCCAGGTGCTGCCTGCCTGCCTGCCTCTATTGGCCCCTCTGATCGGAGTCACCATAGGGCGGGATAGGGGTAAACTGTGGCACAACGTTCACAATCATAAACAACTAGATTGATAGTCTGACAGAGACGATGGCCTTAGACACCCTTCAACCCTGGGACTGACCCCCCAGCCCCAGGGATCACCTTTCCACCAAGCAACAGGCCTCTCGAGTGAATGCATGATAATGGGCGTTTCAGAACAACCAATCCTACAAGACCAAAGGACAGCATCTGCCCCAAATCTCATCTCAGATGCACGATCAGAACAGGAAACGGGGAACCCAGGAGGAAGTGGGGAGAGTGTGGTGACACTGGGGGACTTGCACCCCATGACACAAAATTGAAGAGATTATTGATTGAGAAATGCACTGTACATACCCAACCCACAGTAAAATGTTTTTTAAAAAATGTAACACCCTCCCCCCACCCCCCATCCTAACCACTGGTTTGAAACCGTAGCTCTTCAGCTCTGCTCTCAGCCCAGTGGAATGCTCTTGAAGCAGCATTTCCCTATCACCTGCACAGCCATCTGTTGAGTTTTTTCTTTACCCCTGCTGTGTTCCTTTCCCACTGCTGGCACCAGATTCGTCTTTTTATCTCACATCTCCGCTATCTCCACTTGGTCGTGCCAGTCTCTTCCCAGCCCCTCACCCATCAACTGTCCGAGTTGGTGGCACAGTGAGTTAGGCATGGGGCTGCTAACTGCCAGCCGCTCTGTGGGAGAACGATGAGGCAGTTTGCTTCTGTAAAAACGGGGTCTTGGAACCCCCCTGGGGCAGTTCTACTCTGACCTAGAGGGTCACTGGGAATTGGAATCAACTCAAAGGCAGAGGGTGGGGAACCCGTGCCAGTTTCTGCCAGGCTTAGAGTCTTGTGCGGGAGACATATGACAAAGGCACTAAGCTTTCGTGAGAACCATCAGGAGAAAGAGCAGCTAACTGCCAAAAAAAGAGTCACAATTAAGACCAGAGAGAGCAACTAAGGCTTCCGGGAACACGGCACTTCAACCAAGACCTGTTAGGTAGCAGGATAGGGGATTGTTCCTCTCCTTGCCTAGGGGTCCCCTACCGGAGCTTGGAAGCCAATGCAGGCTAAGGGCCATGTGCTAATTCAGGCCCTTAAGCCACGTGGGTTTAAGTCAGCCAATGGGTCAACTAGTACAGTTGATCATAATGCCCAGCAGAAAGTCCAAAAGGCCGGAACCTGGAGACCACGTGCCTCTTTTCCAGCTGCTCTTCCGCCTTTTGCTCGGCTGTGCCACGGCTTGGCCACACCGCAGTCTGCCTCTCTCTGGCCTCAGGCCATCAAGTGTGGGGTGCAGTGCCTGTGTTCAGTTTACTGTGAAGCCTGCAACTTCTTCTGTCCTTTATAAAAACCCTCTGAGATCACAAACCAGGCTTCTGGGTTTCGTACAAAGCCAAGGGCGGAGGTATTTCCCACTGAGAAACCTCACAGACCCACAGTATGAGCAGGAATACGCCGAGCTCCGAGTCGGGAGGGAAGGGAAGAACACTTGTGAAGATCACGAACCAGGAGGAGGTTGGACGGAAGGATTTGGGGTTTTGTTCTAAGTGAGAAGTCATGCTGGTTTAGACGAGAGTATGGGTATGCATCCCATCATCCTTACCACCACCTCGTTGACCAAAACATGCAGAGGATACACTCCAGATGCTCTGCTCTAAGTCTGAGATGCTTAAGCAGGGGTGCTGGGCATTTGAAAGGTACCGAATGCAGGATGTAATCCAAGGAGAATCACGCCTTGGGAAGGGCGAGCACAAGATAGTCTCCTTCACAGGATTTGCAGATCTCCTGAGTGTGCTGCCAGCAAAGGACTATGCTGGGGACCCTGCCTTGATAATGGGCTCACCCTGAAGAAAGGAAATAGGCAGCCAGCCATGCTAAGCATTTCCTCAGGCCCAAAGTATGTGATTTATGTACCCTGCAATGGCAGAGCGAAGAGGTGATCTTTATAGCATCTTGTTAAGGTAAGGCCCTTACTTCCTTTTGTCCTGTGAACTTTTGGGTCAGAGACAGGGACCACTGTGCCTAGCACACCCCACTGGCTCTTCTGCCATGATCAATTCAAGTTCTCCCTTAGACCTGGTCTTCTGCCATACAACTGTTTGCATTGAAAGTGCTGGTGGTAGCAGCTGCCGGGAGACCCCCACTTTCCCATTGTGAGCTTGATGGTCCTTGGGATCAGAGAATACTGCCATTGAGTCACTGCTGACTTATAGTGACCCCATAGAGCAGGGAAGAACTGCCCCCCGCCCCCAGCCCCTGTGAGTTTCTGAGACTTTAACTCTTGACTGTAGTAGAAACCAGTCTTTCTCCCACCGAGTACTAGTTGTTCCAAACTGCTGACCTTGCAGATCGCAGGCCAATGGGTAACCACTAGGATGGATGGT